GCATCCATTTAAAAAATATCGTAAAAGTACAGTATATCAACTAGGATTGTCGATATTTTTTAAAGATGGGAGAGACTAAAAATTCTGCAGAAAGTACTTTCACTCTTGTAATGTTAGAAATAGTGACCTGGAAGAGGGAAGGGAAGAGAACAAAACTAACCGTGATTTGATTCCATCCACAGCAGACAATCTTCTACCAGCCCGTTCCTCCTCCAGGACCCGCTCCAATCATATTCGCCTTGCAAGAAGATTGTCTGCTTATTTTTATTTCTCTTTCTGTCAGAGAAAAGTAAATGGTGTTTCAAAACCCGGTCTCTATCCAAAGCTACCACGAAGGTGTAAAAAATTGGCAGAAAATATTAAGAATTTCCGCTGACAGTCGAACATTTTATAGGAGAAAGTTCTCTCCGTAATCGAGAAGCCTGATCTTGGCAGTAATAAGCTGGTTCGTCAGTTGGACAATTTTTCTCGTTAGCTAGCCGAATAGATACACTTTTTTTTCTTATAAAAGATTGAATAAATCATACAGTAACAGTAATATATCTATATAAAATCTGAATATTTGACCGAAATAATTTTCCATTAGAAGCTATAAATGTAAATTTAAATCAAACATTAAAAAATAAATTTCACACTAAGAATCTTTCTGTTATTTTTTATTTTATAAGTTGAGTGAGTAGAAATTATCATTGAGAAGTCGATCTGACATTGTCAATCTGATCTCTGTCAAATACTTCAGTAATGTATTACAAAAATTAAGCATCAATATTGTCATTTTTTCCTCCTATGATCGCATCCTTGTATCAACAAGCATAACAAAATAGACAATGGATGGATATGTCTATATGCATATGCATATTTAGTGACAGGAGTCTGATAGTGATACAAAGATAAGCACAAGTTAATTTTCCTTTCTTTTTTTGTTATATCTTTTTTCTTCTTGTCTTTCGCTTGAAACTTTCTTATCTCATTTATTTCTTCTGCAACTTTTCCTTCTTTTTTATTTCTTCATCAAATTCTCATTTATCTTAATTTATAAAACTTCTTCTGTTTACATCCTATCATCGATTGTAAGTATCATTAGTACCAAATAAGAACGTTAAATCGAATCATCTTTCTAATTGAATTTTATTCTCATATACAATGATGCGCTACGTATATTACGCATATATATATATATATATATATATGTACAGTGCAATGTGCTGTTGAATAATAACCATTGCAAATTATTTACCAGACTGAGAAAGTTTCTTTTTTATTTTATACGCTATCAATCTTACGTTTGAGTTAATTGATTTGTCGAACTCGTACATCTTCATCAACCAGGCAAATGTCAACACATTCTTGAGTTTAGATATGAAAGAATCGAGACAAAGCCAGCCCATCATTCTTTATCACTTTTTCTTTATAATGAAATGTATATCAAAATATTTTTGTAAGGCTGAATTGGTTTCAATTTGAAAGTTCTTTTTTCTTTTTTTTTTGAGCCCTTGCAGTAATTTCGAAGAATCAAATATAATTAGATTTTGATATGATTCTTCTATCTGATTGGTAGAAAACATGAAAAGAGAAAGAGAAAAAAATACCAAACAGACTTAATGTTGATACTCGTTTTTACAAGTAAGAGAACGAATGATAACGATTGTCAAGTCATCGTATATGTATGAGAATGTGCGTATTTCCTCAAGTCAAATAGGAGATAAACAATTCATCGAACGACGACGTTGATGAGTCGTCATTGCTGATGATAGTAGGAAGAGCGAGCAAATAAAAGAAAATCGACTGGTTCATATCGCGTACCAATCGTCTTTTTCGTATATATACATATTTTTGCCTACGGACGAACCGAACAAATGATATCACCTTATCATTTCTCTCTTTCTCTCTCTCTTTTTCTTTGCTTTTACTCAATAATAATTTTCTTCTATGGATAACAATCTGCTAACATCACGTGCTAGTAGTTTCAGTATTGCTTCATTGATTACATCAGATTGTTGCGATGATGAAAATAGTTTATATCATTCTCTGACGAATTCGATTCAAACAAATTTTTATCCGACTAATAATAATAATAATAATAATAATAATTGTTCAATTGAGCAAATTACAAACGATAATTATTCAAATTCTATTCAACAAGATTTTCATCATTTTCATTCAGCTACATTAACAGAAACAAATAACGGAGAATATCAACAACAAATAAGAAGAAGAAAAAATCGATCAACAAATTATAAACAAATAAAAAATCTTCAAAAAAATTTATCAATAACACAACATATGGAAGGTTAGTAAATACTTCATAACAAAAAAAGAAAAACCTCAAAGAAAATATTCAACATAACTTTCCTATTTTTTAGATTATATTCAACTAACAACAGAAAATATTAAATCAATAACAAATATAAATAAATCTAATAATGAAAATATTTCAAATGGAATTAATGAAATAAAGAAAACACTTCATCCAAAATTAGCTAATATTAAAATGGTTCTTGAATCAAAATCATTATGGGATGAATTTGATAAACTTGGAACAGAAATGATTGTTACTCGATCAGGAAGGTATAAAAAAAACACACCAATATCTTTCCATTTCATTGACACAATTTTTTTTCTGAATGATTTCATAATTTCACTCAAGAGATCTTAGGTTGAAGGGAAAGTGAAATAAATTTGTAGGTATTGGGTTTCTCTATTTCCAAATAGACTCGAGCTGGAGAGCTGACACTTCTAACTTAATGCAAATATTGTCACCTCCAATAGAATGTGTCGGATCTGAGTCCAAAAAAGTTTGACCCGACGGATTCTTACCTCCAATTGAAATTCATATGTACTGATTGATAAATGCAAGAAAGATAATGCGTTTAATACAGCTATGACGAAACAATTATTAAAAACAGAGACTAAACCAAAAGAAAATCCTTATTAAAACAATAAATTGTTTGTTCCTAAAATGTAATTAACTTTACGTTATAATAATCATTAAGTATGATTGAGATATTCAAAAAAAAAACAATAGATAAGATTGATACTAATGATTCAATCGAATTTGAATCTCTTGGGGAACATGCAAAACATATGTCTATTGAATATAGATTATCAATCATTTTCGAGAAACAAAATATTATTTTCTTTTTCTTTTTAAAGACGAATGTTTCCAATATTACAAGTAAAAATTTCTGGTATGGATCCAACAGCTACTTATTTACTTATGGTTGATTTTATACCATTAGATGATAAACGTTATCGATATGCATTTTATAGGTAAAATTGGTTTTTTTTTTTCTAGAAAAAAACAACAGAAGAAACAAAATCTTTATTTAGTTCAAGTTGGGTTGTTGCTGGTAAAGCTGATCCACATGGTCCAGGTCGTTTTCATGTTCATCCAGATTCACCACAAACAGGTTCAGCTTGGATGAAAAATATTGTTTCATTTGATAAACTTAAATTAACAAATAATTTACTTGATGAAAATGGACATGTAAGAAAAAAAAAAAAAATTTTTCATTTTTTCTCAAATAAATTTGTTTTTTTTTTATTTTTTTTTTATAAAGATTATACTTAATTCAATGCATCGTTATCAACCTCGAATTCATTGTGTTTATTCACCATCGATTAAAACTGATGAATCAATTTTACAACAAACACAAACATTTCGAACATTTACATTTTCTGAAACAACATTTATTAGTGTTACTGCATATCAAAATCATCGAATAACTCAATTAAAAATCGCTTCAAATCCATTTGCTAAAGGTTTTCGTGATTGTGAATCAGAAGATGGGTATAGGAAAATAAAAACAAAAAAACATTTTCTTTTTAATACAAAATAATCTTATTTTCTAGTATGATTGATGTAATAAAACAATTAAATTCTAATCAACGTTTACTTCGTACACAACAAAAATCATCTAATATACAAACTAATACATTCAATAGAATTGTTGAAAATTCTTCTTGTTTTATATCTGATCCACAAGATTCAACAGTTAATTTTATTTCACCAACAACTTATTCTTCATTAGTTAATCAAGATTTAGCAAATTATGCTGCTGATGCTTTTGTTTATTCACAATTGTCTGATTTAAGTTATCGAAGAGAAACATCATCAAATTATCATCCAGCACGAATGAATCCATATGCACGACAAACATTTTATCCAATGTATACACAACGTGAAATTCATTCACCATCATCATCATCATACAATAGTTAATTATGCATGAAAACAAAACCACAAAAAAACCAATTTAATATTTTTCATTTTGTGAGTCTTTTGGTCAGATGAGGGCTTTGGTTTTTTTTGTCTTTTTTATATAGAACAGCATATATTGTAATTACATCTTTACTAAATAAAAAAAAAATGATTTTCTTCTTATTCATATATCAATACATTTATATTGATATCTATATATTCATTCATCTTTTTTTTTTCTTCTGTCTATTGATATGATAAGTAACTGTAAGTGTTTATGTGATGGCTATCTATCTGTCATAATTATTCTGGAGATTAGAGTATGCGGGCATATTGTGATGTGTTTATATCTATATATCTATATATATATGAATGTGGGTTAGTTATACCAATTAATTTACAACAAAACGAAGTTTGATTGTTTTTCCGTTTATAAATAAACATATGATGAAATAAGAAAAAACAAACGATTTTTAAATATATGATTGAAGCTATCGAAGGAGACAAAAATTTTTGAAAGTGCGTTGAAATGACCTAATCACGATTCTTGTTTGAGTGTTTTCTCACATTCATGCAAACAATACTAAAACTAACTACGTTCATCATAAACGGTGGGTTAAGACGCTTAACAAGGCAACTTTTGCATCTGAAAAACGTACAAAAGTTTTTCCCGCAATATTTTGATGAATTTTGCAGATGAAAATGACTTTTTTTATGGGTGGTGTATGTGAAAAATATTGTGATACAACTTTTTGGACGTTTTGAACAATTACAAAATGTTTTTCAAAAATATTACTAAATGAAAACTGAATCAATTACTGAAACATTAGCTCAAGTACAAATTTTTTTTTTGAGAAACTAATATGACATGAAAATTTTCATATGTTTTTTTTTTTCATTTATAGTAAGACACCACGATCTGGATCACGTTTAAAAATAGCATTTATACTATTCGGTATTCTTCTCGGTAGTTTTACTACTTGTACAATTGTAGTATATCGAAACATTAGATTGAATTGTAGATAATAATAATTTATGTTTGAGTCCATATTGTGTTAAAAGCAGGTAAATGTTTAATTTGATGAAAAACAAAGAAAGAACTACTATTTTCTTTGATAGCTAATTATCTCATCGATGGTATTGATCAATCGATTGAACCATGTAAGAAATTTTATCAAGTTGTTTGTGAAACATGACTTATAAGTAATAGAATACCTGAAGATGATAAATCAAATTGTTTGTTTTATAAAACATGATTTACAAGGAATGGTGATGTATAGGAACAGAAATTTGACCCCCCTCTCTCATTCTTCGCGTCTCAGACTGTATACTAATAATGTTTCGTGATAATAAATTAGCTACTTCCTTATTGGATTTCTGGAGAGTCAAGTGAATGTATGTTGAAGATATTTGTCACAAAATAGATAAAATAAAACAATATCGCTGTTGTGATTACCAACAGTAATTACATCGTATTTCATATTTTAATCTCACAGGAATTACATTAAACAGCTTTTCCTTGAATATGATCAATTTTGAATTATTTATAGCTAATTCACAAGATACATTTAGAATTCTTAGTAAAAAAAAAACTTGACGAAAATATCATTGGTAAATTCCAATGAATTTGTTTTTCTCTAATAGATTTATTATTTTTATGTAAATTTACTATCAACAATAATGACAAATGAAATAGTTGAACTTCAATCTGTTATTAATGTTCACATTTTGTATAGGTCATGTATTGATGAATCAAAGATTGAAATAGAAGAAATTGATTCTGTCTTATCATTAATCAATAATAAACTTGATGGTTGCCCTATATTACAAGGTTCAACATGGAATAGTTCAACATTTAGTTTAACAAATCTATTACTTAAACTTCATCAGGACAATTATAATATTATCGTTCGGATAAAGAGTGATGTTAATGACTAAAAATTCGTTAGCAACTAATATTTTAGTAAGTCCGATTGATTATTAATCAAATCGAATTACTTTATATAGTTATATTTTGTAAATATGATATTGTTTTAGTTTAGTCAAGGTGCTCGTGGATTATCACAGCGTCAATATTATGTAAATGCAACGAATATTACTATTGATTATCAACAATTTATGTGAAACTTAGCTGAAGCATTAACCAATGATACTTCAATGATCGATCAAGATGTCAAAGATATATTTGATTTTGAAAAGAATATTTTAAAAGCTAGACTTTCTGATACTACATACAAGTGTCATATTTCATCTTCTTTTCTATATAGTATTATTGGACTTCTGATGGACAACGAGCTCGAGACAATGAAATGATTCGAACAACAATTTATGATATTTCTCATACATTAAATCTAGTATAAGTCTTGAATCTTGTTTTCTTTTTCGTTTTTATGTATCCTGTTTTTTTTTGAACAGTTTGATTTTACTACTTATGTTTATCGTGTATATTTGTTTGGTATATGTAACTCTAAATGATATGGATAATGTGATACTAAAGAAATTAGATTTTCTGATTAACGCTTCATCTATAATCGAAGAAACTTCGTTACGACTTTTACAAAATTATTTCATAGGGCATTTTATAATGAGTCAATCAAAAAAATATACCAAGATATATTCGTAATGTTAAAGAAAGATTTGATCGAGTTTTTCAAGACACTAGTACTGAACAACCAAGAACAATAAAGTGCGGAGTTTATGTTAATAATAATATGGATTTTGTAGTCTCGAAACTACACACATATTAAAAATTATTTTGATGAAAATGCTCGTAATCAAGTACTAAACGTAATATATTTAAATCTTAAATCTCGTGTTATGAATAAAGTCATTAGAAATGATTGAAAATATTCGAAATTTATTTATTGATATAATTGATCAATCTTCATTGATGGATAATACGTCAAAAGCTAAAATGATAGAAAAAGTAAATATTGATAAATATTTCGTTGTAAATAAAAGACAAAAAAAGACAAAAAATAATACTTTAAGCTAAAGCTATCAATAAACATATTGGTCAACCTGATTATTTAGCTAGTAATAATAATAACATAAAACTTGAAAATGATTATATTGCGGTAAGATTCTAAATTACTTTGAAAAGATTTCTTGAATATATCATTCTTTGATATGTAATAGATAAATTAACTATTTACTATCATTTTAATTCATCTTATATTCATAAGATTTTCAAAATACGTCAAATTAAAATTACAGAAAACTTTCAATTTTTTTGGAAACCTATTGATAGAAAAGTATGGCAATTTCTTCCAATAACTGTTATTAATGCAAGTTATGAACGATTTCAAAATTAAACGGCTATATACAAATTTTCATGATTGATTAGTAATGATTATTGTCTTTAGTTTTTTTCGGTTGGTATTCTTCAAATGCCATTCTTTAATAGAGATGTTTCAAAATAAAAACTATATAATGCATTATAAATAAATATTTTCTCTTGTTCTTTTGAGAGATCTAAATTATGGTGGTATGTATTATTCAATATCAATAAAATAAATACAAATAATTAATTAAGGTATTGGAATGGTTATTAGAGGGTATGGGAGTGGGTGTGGGATGTGGATGTGGATCTTTTTTAGTTACAGCAACATTCATATCCACCCACACTCACACCCATCCTGTTGATTGTAAGATCTATTGCTCGTGACATTGGAGCATTTGTGTACAGATTGTCGATATCTAGACTTATAAATTTATCTTCTTTATACAATTGAATTTTAATCGTTTCATTGATAAATTTTGATGTATTGCATATGGTATAATCAATTGCTTTTCTCAACTGTTTTATATATGAAAATGCTAATTTGGATAATGATGAGGTAATAGTATTTCTTGCACAGATTACAAGTCTCATCGGATGATTTTGTTGATGTAATTTAGATTGACCTCTTATTATTGGGATGTTAATTTATGTTTTAAACTTTTTTGAAATGCTCGTCTTTGTATGCTGAATCTGAATATCATATTCAAAAGTTTTTTCCGAACTTCATTCTTTTTCCAGCTTCTAGCTGAAACACTACGGGTTTCTAGAAACCCAACTTCCAAGGATTTTGGAGAAAACTTTCTAGAGACAAAAAGAAAGAGCACATCAAGAAATCGTTATGAAGCAAAGAATAATCTAATACATTTAGCCATTCTCAAAATAGTATTTAGTATTCTCATGTTATACGCCTATTGAATGCTTTGGACACGCGAAATATTTCTTAGAGTGGATAACTCGAAAATTTGTGCAAAATATGGTAGTGGAATACATCATTAAACGAGGATCAATCAGCAGAAAAAAATTCTTTATCGAATACGAACAACTGTTTCAACATATGATTCTCACACAAATGTTAGAAGTTTACGCATCAAAATAATGTGTTCAAAAATCATCTCTATTTTTGATGAAATTCTATAAGAAAATTCGCTTATGTTGTTAATCTTCGCAATAAAAATATGATGTTTCCAGATAGAAATGAATAAGCTCCATGGAATATACACATTTTGATTTGATATTCACATCTGTTTTCTAGAAATATTTCGTTAGAGAATTTTATTAATATTCGAATTTTGCAGCGTTTTTAAACCATTAAGTGTTTAGTACTCTTTTTTGTTCAGAATTATGCACATATTTGAAATTAGCATCGAATTCCAAACAAAATTAAGTATTGAGTTAATTAAAACTTCAAATTTTAAATTTCTCGAGTTGAAAAGTTGGAAAATTCTTGTCGTTGGATTCTAATGAAAAATACACTGTTTGATGCAGAATTTGATGGTAATGATGAATATCTGATTGCTTTTGATTTCTTTGCTTTTACTCTGATCCAAACTGTGATGGTCGGGAAAATGATGAAAGTATCTGAGAACACTATTTTTAATTTGTTATTTGATAGAATTATGCTTGTTAAAAACTAATCAACTTTTATTTCGAAAGTTTATTCGTATGTCGCTTGGTTTTGTAGTAAAATGCTGAATTCTCAGCTCTGCTAAAAAAATTTCAGTTTTTGAAATTCTGTAACGATCAGTATGTTCTGAGTAATTGAACTCAAGCTACAGAAAAATCAATGAAATTTCCATTGATAGTTAAATATAAATGATTTCTATCTATAATAAAAGTTTCAAATAATTTTCTTTTGTCATTGACGAGAAATAGATGTTACGATAAAAAAAAAAAATTGAAATTTTGTAATGCTTGGTCACGTTATATTGTAAGTTTCTACCATGCTAGCTAAAATAATTTTATTCATTAAAATATAGTATCTCTTCTTGTTATCGTATATATTGACGAAAAAAAAACTGACTTTTCTAAGTATAAAATATACCTCAAGTCTCGTTATATGTTTTGATCTATTTCAGATTTTAGTTAGTCTGAAAAAACCATAGTCATAGCAAAATCATCGAATTACCAAGTATCTATCACCTGCAAATATTTTCTTGTCAGATAAGAAAGCGAAATTTCACATGATAAACATCCATCAAGTTTTTTTTTTTGTATTATAAATATCATTCTATATTAACAACGATCAAGGCTTTTATGATTCATCCATATATGTATTTCACTCCAATATGAAAGCAATTATCCTTCACACCTGTGTCTTTTTTATTCATATGTGTAAATAAGTACTCTCGTATACAAACTATTAAGTAAAAAGTCACATGGTTTGTTATCATATAATTTAGAATATTGGCTCCTACGTATATACATTTGAAATGAAATTGTTCTTTTTTTTTTTCTTTTATTCTAATGTCAATCATTAAAAATCAGTCTATATTGTATGTATTTGTCATTTGAAGATAATATTTGATCATCATATGTCCTCTAATCAAATAGTAAAATATGTAACCAAAAAAAAAGAAAAAAGACTAAGCGTCGTTGTCGATAGAATAGATCATATCGTCTTTAATCAAACAGCATACAATAAAGAATGGCAGTTATAAAATCGATTTATCGTCTAACAATCCGTCATTATATCATTCTATGTTCCGTACTTGTTCTTTTTAGCATTGGTTTTAGTTTAATATTTTTTCTTGAAGACAATACAGAACAATTGATTGATTTGAGTGAGTATGATGATAAAATTACCTTCTGGAGTAGTGATTATCATATAAGGTAAGAAACAAGATAAATTTTTCTCCTTTTTTTTTGTGTTTTTGAAAATAATGTTTTATTTCGAAAATAGTCCAATACATGATCTCAAACATTTATTAATACCATTAGGTGTTCGTTTTATTGATAAAAGTCTGTCAGGTTCATGTAGTTTAACAGATACTTGTGCAAAAAATCTTCGTATATTATCTTCACATAATGGAATGAACCCAAATAAAGCAATTCGAAAGCAATTTTATAACTATTATAAAAATCATTCATTAATGAATCGTGTTGATGCATTTATTTGTTTTCATCCAGCAGCTATGTGTGAATTATTTATGCCATTTAATCGTACAATTATTATTATTGCATCAACACGTTATGAGCTTAGCCGATTTTCAGTTGACGAATGGAATGAATGGAATAAGAATTTACGTATTATTGCTTCTAATCCTCGGTATGTTTTCGAAATTATAGAGAACATTCGATAACAATGAATTATAATCTTTTATTTTATTTTTTTGTAAGAGCCAAATTTGCTGACTGAAATGATAAATTATTAACGAATGACTATAGTATTTAGTGTAACGTAGTAAAGGAATAATTGTATGTCGACTATGTAATTATTTGTCTATCGGTTAGTTCAAATGTAATTTAATTAAAAAATCCTAGAATGTTTCTTTTGTCAAATACATACCGTAAAAGTTGACGAAATAAAAATTAATCTTAATAGATAATAATTCAAACGTCAGAAAAATTGAAAATTCCAGGTCAATCTTATCTTTTTCCGTTTCGTTTATCTCTAAGTATTATTATTGAAAAAAAAATGAGCCGAACCTAAAAACGAAAAAAAAAAAACAAAAAAATTTTGAAGTCCTATTAAACGAAAAAAAGTCTATAAATAACATATTAGTTAAAAACGTAAAAACTCAAAATTTCAAGTTCATTTGTTGAAGATCAATATTATTTGACATATAACATCTATTATGACTTTCCTCTCACAAAAATATCATAATGAATAAAACTGATGATGAAAGACAATTGTAGAATAGAAGTTAGTTGTATTCAGTCGATTAGAATCAGTTAAATCATATCATTCATTATAGAACAAGTGTTTCGAAACTCCAAAAACTTCATATGAAAACAAATACAGTAATTCTCAAAGTAACTTTACTAATAGGCTCATTCATTTTTCTTACATCTCATCATGTATAAGATCGAAAATTTCGCTAATTCTGTATATGTAAGTCAATATTTCAATGAATATTA